GAGCCAGCACTGTTCTGTGCAGCGCTACTGTCCTTATTTATTATACTTCCAACGACTCTCTTCACACCTTTCTCCTCCTTATGTGGCGTTACATTTAGTTTCTCCTCTTCCTCTTTCTCCTGCTCCTTCTCCTCCTCCCTTGCATCAGGACTGAGCTTGATTATCAGTGTAGCGAGCGTTGTTGGGGGGGCAGATGGAGGCTTGGTGGCCTCAGCCGTGGTGTGTGGAGGCGGTGTATCTTCAGTGCTCGATGCAGAGTGCACGGTGGGAACACTGGGAACACTGGGAATGCCATCAGCGGTGGTAGACTCCACTGGAAAGTCAGGTGTTGTAGGAAGAACATCATCATCTGCAGGTTGGAGGGGATCAGTTGTTGCATCAGGACTGGATTCTCCTGTTGTGAGCATGGGATCAGTTGTCACATCATCATCATCTTCATCCTCGTCTTCTACTGTGTCGGGAACTGGAAAACATAAATGAAGGAAAACTCGTTTTAATCTGGGATCTAATGAGGCCTCGCAGTCGTTAATGCTGCCACATGTGCTCATAACAGAGCTGACGTCCCCCTAAACTCTGTCACCATTGCTCCAGAAAAATACACACAGGCATCACATGTAGAGCTTTGATCCGACCCACACTGGTGGATCTACAGTCCATATCAAATTTGACATGGGACAGCACGATAGCACGTACATATTATATTAAATTTATATGCTGATAAAAAATACATCAATAAAAATAAAGTCCTAAAATAAAATGCTGATGTGGACGAACACAGATCAGGAAGTAACGGCAGCCTGTCGTACTCTTACCACAGAGATTGTTTTCACATTTCTGGAGGTTTTCGGGGCATCTGGAGCACCAATCGCCTTCAACGTACGGCCGCACGCCTTCATAGTTCCCTCTGAACACACGCACACAAAATATCACACAAATCCCAAACTTAATAACCTCAGATTGTGTTACAAGAAAAACAGAAATAAAAAGAAAAGCTAACAGAAACTGAGTTAAAGAGTTGAGTGTTAGTCTTTGTTAGCATGAGGCACCACCGATGTATATATGCATCGTATTAAATTGCCTGAATTACTGTGAATCAACTGACTTTAAAAAGTTAACAAAGGGATGTTAAAATATACAACACAGACCAAAGAATTCACATTTAGTGACGTGTCTCCTGCCTTCAGTCAAACAAGTAAAGTGTAACTAGAAGAATTTGCAGTGTGAATGCTGTGTGGTGGAAATTAACTGCCGAAAAATGCAAACGAAGCAGAACGATCTGCTGAAAAGAAGAAGAAGCTGAAGTGTTTGCTGAAGACAGCTTTATTTGAAAAGGTACACTGAAGAGTGAGAGTGGGGAAGATGAACGGCATGAGCTACGGGTAGGATTCGAACCTGCGCTGCCGTCTAAAGGCAGCTGCTCATCTCAGGGAGCCAAACAGGCACTTAGCTCAGACACTGTAAATGGAGGTAAAGAAGCTGAAGTACATATTAGAAAACTTGCTGAATTCATTCAGGATTCCCCTCGAACAAATGGCCATCATTTCCTAACCGTAGGGGCTAAAACAATCATTCTTGCACCCTTCTTTTAAGGGCAGATGGGGAAATCTTCAGGTGTTCATAATTCATTATTACAGTATGAATTATTAAAGATGTATGACTTGTAATGAACCATAACTGAGTAGAGGAGAAGCGAAAACTGCCTTGACTTGCTCTCAAACAACGTTTTGTAACGTTAAATCTATTTGAAGCATCCACCATCATTCTTTAACAATCACCAGGCTTTGATGAACCATCATGGAGGCTTTCAGGTCTCTGTGGAAATCCATGAAGGAGATATAACAAGAAAAAAAAGTGCTTTATTTCCAGAGTTTGAAATCTGAGAGAAGCACAGATTTCCTGCCCTCAAACAAATGCAATTCATGGATAAACAGTCAAAAATGATTGAATTGTGAGCGTTAGGAGTGTCTGAAGATAAATTGGCCAAAGGCTCAAGCCTGGAAATTGTTTCATTGAGGAGATATGACAATCATCCCATTAGAGAATTCCAGCCTGGTTGTGTTTCTATGGAGAGTTTTCAGACTTTGTGTTGCTCTGAGACGATTTGACAAAAATCTCTCACTTCCACAATAATAACAGAGTGAAAACTGAGCGAGGAGCAAGAAGATGTTCAGACACGAAGAAAAGATTCAGAACGGTCCAGTGGGCCACTCAAAGCAAACTGCATAGCAACCATAGCAACGCATGTATTTTCTGAAAAATCATAATGATGCAACTGAAAACTTAAAGAGGGATTAAATTAAAACGAAAGAAGATGTGAAAAAGCTGAATTACACATGAATAGCTCAATTTGTGTGAGTGTACAGCATTCACACAGTTATTACTACTGTCCACAAGAGGGAGCACTTGTTGTAGCATTGTGCAGCGGTAACACTGGAAGGAGTCGTGGTACTGACGCTGGGTAGTAGTTACAGACGAGGAAGGAGACTCTGTCCCAGTCCAGTCCCTCCATAGTGTCACAGAGATGGAAGGCACAGCCCACTCTGTGTGTGTCTGCCCACACCATCTGTAACACACACGCACAGTTTACACTGAGTGGATCTGCCACATTCTACACAAGGTTTGTACAAAGTCCTCTGCAGTGGATTTTAAATAAAAAAATATCAGGATGTGATTGAAGTGCAGACTCTCAGCTTTAATTCGAGGAGTTTAACAAAAGTACTGAACTGTTTAGTCGTATTCCCATTACTGAGAAGTAACTGGACAGTTGATTGATATTTAAAGTCGTTCTCAGTTTGGACGTGCACCCTGTCATTGTCCACATACATAGACTAACTGTGTATACTGTATGTGTGTGTGTGTGTGTGTGTGTGTTTGTGACCTGTGTGTAGTGTCCACACATCTTATCTTCGTCACAGCTGTTTTTCTGGAAGTCGTAGTCCAGGCGTTCTGCACAGAACAGATCAATTAGAACTATTCTGTGAACAATGATGAGACTGAGTTGAAGAATCACCACATTCAGGACAAATCGAGTGACAAGTAAAAGTTCTGCAGTCAAGATGAACATCTGGTGTGTTTATCCTGAAACCTGAGAGATTCTCGTGTTACAGCAGCCAAAATAATAACAGAAGCTAAAACAATAAGATAAGGATGCAAAACTAAAGTGCTGGTGTGGCACAGGGCACTGCTGTCAGAAGTATAATGGTTGGAAAAACCACAACAAAAAGCAACAATTTCAGCACAGCTGAGTGAAATCAAATACAAAAAGTGTTGAAAACTGAGAAACTACAACAGGCGCTGTAACTTTAACATTCAGTGTTAAAGTTACATTTTTATACAAGTTCAGTGAATCACTCATCCATAGTTAATGTGTGGTAGGTTCATCTATTAACATCACAGTAGCAAAAATACTTTTAGTGATACTGCAACATAGCAATGCATTTAACATCTAGTCTGCATTCGACTGTAGCAGAAATGTTTTTAGTTACCAAAGATGAGGAAAAAGTCGAAACTCCAACCTCAGCCTGGGTGTGCCACAGGTGAGCTGATCGATATTAAAGCCTATAAGTTTCCTCAAACTAGTCCATATTAGAAAAACTTGGTGAAATGCTCGAGTCCTGTTCTGTTAATTTGCTTTTGTTTATTACAAAGTGACAGTTTTTGATTTATTGCAGTAACGAGCGCTGTGACAGTGTTTAGTTATTCCTTCAGATTTATGAGAATTGTCATTATCCTGAACATTTACAGTCACAATTCAATCCACACTTTCACAACAGCAGTC